ACAGCTCTGCAAACACCTGCTAAGAACTTCTGTTGGGAACCATTCTCTATGTTTGTTTGTTTGTAGAAAGGCAGTTGAGCTGGAGAAAATGCTGTCAATGAGATCATATAGCCTGTCACTTTTGTACCTCATCATTCCGGGCAGCCACTAGTTAATCCAAACACAGTAATTCTTTCCATTACCACATAACTAATTTATCTGGAAAAACAACACTGTTTGAAAGTGGAGAGGCTAAGGAGAAAAGCAATAAAAACAAACAAATGAACAAGACCTCTCTTGTTTTTCCTCATAAAAACATGCCACCCAGGCAGTGCAACCCAGGGACAGGTCTGCCAGCCTATACCCCCATCTTTCCCTTCCACATGTGCAAAAACACCTCAATGTTCTCCTAATCCTCGAGCAAAGCTCATGCATTTGAAGAGCTTTTGGAGACCCCTGGCAAAGTGTAGTGTTCTATTTGTAAGCGGGGCCAGGATTATTCCGGTGTCAGCTTCTGCTTCCACTCGAGTCCCTGATACTGCCCGCACAAAGCTCTGGATCTTATTTCAAGAATTCATTTGCTCCAATTTTGTCTCCTACCTGAGGTCTCGACCCTTAGCTGAATTACGATTAGTTGCCCTGAGGATCTTGGAGGGGATTCATTTCAGAGGAAAATGCCTTCTGCTAGGCAGTGCCAATCTAGCTTGTAGTTAGCATCTATGAATTTCAGCTCTGAGAACAGCCTCTGCTAATGTAGCCCAGGGAAATCTGTCTTGTAGGATGGTCCATATTTGCTGTACTTTAGACAGGCCTCTCCATAATCCTGAAATTGTTTCTCCCAAATCTCATTTTTAAAACAATCACTGCTGAGTAAGTTTTCTTCCAAAGCCGCCTTAAGAATTTCTTCTTGAAACAAGAACAATGATTGCTTTTCTGAAAAATGCAGGCTGCAAAACGTGGCAGCTGAGGTGCAAGACTGAGGGGTGTGAGGTGGGAGTCCTCCTCTGGGCTGGGTGCCTGATTGGTTGAGAGAAAGGGGCAGTGATCAGGGGGGTCTGTTTTCATCCTCATCTGTGAAATGGGACGGTATTATTTTTCTTCTGTATCTTTTTAGGATTGGGTATGGTACACATTGAATTAGTATTTTTGCTCTCTGGAGAAACAGACGCACTTAGAGAATGATCTTCTTACGAAGTGTACCTTTTCTTTGTCAAGACTGCTACACTTCATTGGCAGGGGAGGGGGTTATTCTGTTATCTTTACCACTGGGTACAACACTGAGGAAACTGCGATATTTAGAAGTGCAAACCACTATAGGTCAGGACTAATCATGTTTGATAATGAATTCTTTTTAGCAAAAAGTTTACACTGTAATACAATGGGAAAGTAATTTATTAAGAAGTGCCCTTGGAAATAGAAAGGAATAACGCATCTCTGCAGATGTGCCACTTAACCACCCGAGGTGAGTGGGGACAAGGCTGCACTGTGGCCCAGATATGGGGTCTTGTCCCTCTCCTGCAACCAGCTAGCTGTGTGCTCCTGGTTAAGTCTGCCTACTGCTCCAGGCCTCGGGCTTCCCATCTGTAAAATGACCAGGTTGAGTTACACAGTGGTTTTCACATACTTTTTTCAGCAGTGGAACTCCCCCAGTGAACACTTTTTCAGAAAGTAAATACAGACCAGGCCAGGAGAGCCACCTGAACCCCACTTGTGCCTGTGTGGTTCTCCATACCTCTCACAGCATTTCCTGAGACTTCTCTGGGGCCTCTGCTGCTCTGAGAAGCAGGCACAAAGTCACTGGCCTAGATGATCTTGAAATTCTTTTCTAACTGAACAAGGAGAGATGCTTGTTTCAAATCTGGCTGAGGTCTGGTTTACTCCATGTCTGAAGGATGGATGCCCTATCATGCCCAGAGGGGGATCCTGCTGAGTGCTGCAAGCCCAACCCAGGGCAGCTGATGCTTCAGAAAAACAGGTTACAGGGACCCGAGCCTGAAAACACAGATGTGGACCAGCACCAGTCGCTGCAGGAACTGCAGTGTCTTCCACAGCCACATCCGTCTTGCTGGCTGAAGATGGCCCTGCTGCTGGTGATGGTTTTCTGTATGCATGGGTAGCTGTAGCTGCCATACATTCCCTCCCTCCTCATGCATCTATTCACTCATTCACAAACATTTACTAATCACCTCCTTCTAGACCACAAGTGGTCTAGTGGGGGAAGACTGACAATGAATAAACAGCTCATCAAATAGCCATGTAACTGCAGCATGGTGAATAATGGTAGTGGTGTGGTCTAAATGACGATGGGATGAGGGGAGCCAGCCATTGGAAGAGCTGGGAAGAGGGCGTTTAGGCAGAGGAAGAGCACAGGATCCCGAGGCAGGACAGAGCTCCAGGACAGAGAGCCCTGCTGTGGCTGGGTCTTTGGGGAGTGTGAGAGACTGAGCGCAGCCCTCACTGCCACTGCTGTGGCCCTAAGAAGGAGTACAACAAGGAGCCTGCTCAGAGCAGGCAGCCGTACCGAGGGAAGGCTCAGGTGTTTGTCCCCAGGTGGCGGAGGCTGTTTATGTTGCAGAAAATCAATTAATCACTTGAGCAGTTCACTCATTTTTTTCCCTTTCTACTGCCCAGCTGTGAGCTCTTGGCTTGTGGGTGGCAGCCCACACTGGGACAAGGATGAGGTTGGGAGAGGAGGCTGGGAAAGGGAAAGCAGAAGAGAGGAAGCAAGAGGCAGAAGTGGAGCCAGGGTCTGCATGCTGAGTCCATAGGCCTAGGGATGCCGCTCTACGGCCTGTGATTCTGGGCGAATTACTTAGCCCTCCTCATCTGAGAGGAGGGACCCCAAGGCTTCCTTCAGAGGCTGCTGTCAAGAATAAATGAGAGAATATATGGGCCTGGTATATTGAGCTTCTCCCCAAAATGGGGGCTGCTATTATAAAGAGAGGAGTGAAGGGACAGGGAGATATTTTAGGCAGAGGATGAGACCAGAGACTGTTTGCTCAGTGTTTTACAGTTTGCAAAAATCTTCTTCCCTACAGAAAGAAGACATACCTGCACCCACACATCCATCCTGTGCAAGCACCTCTGTACACTCATCCCTGACTCCCCTTCCTGCACACCAACCATAAGTAACGTCCACAACAGAAATGACACCAAGTTCAGATGTCTATCTTTAATGTTCACTCTGCACCAGGCACTGTCCTAAGCACTTGATAGACATCTATTAACTCATTTGACAGTCACAGCCACCTAAGAGGTCGTAGGTACTATTGTGATCCCAGTTGATAGATGAGGGAACTAAAGTTCAGAAAGGGGAAGTGACTGGGTCAAGGTCACAGAGACAGTGTGTGGCAGGGCCGGGATCAGAGATATAGAAATTTCCAGGCTCTCTGCCAAACCGCAGGACTACGGGACGAGGAAGGCACACCCCTACCATCAGCAGGCTCACAGGCCTTGCTCTGTGGACACAGATAAATCTCATATAGTGTGCTCGAGGTTTACTGTTAGTACTTCCAGGGTGGAAGTACTAAGAAAACTGAAGAACCAGGCTCTGATCATGCATCAAACATGTAGTAAGCACCTGCTGTATGCCTAAGGAGCTGGGATCTGTGGTGAACAGGACCAATGTGGTGGTCCTTGCAATCAGAATAGACAGTCTAGTAGGAGAGGCACACAACACACCAATGTTCACACAAATACATATTTTAATTTCACCTGTGATAAGTTGTAAGGGAAGGGAAGGAAATGTAAAGGGTAGCATGAGAATGAGTGTATGTCAAGAGTTAGGGAAGACTTTATGGACCGGGTAAGAACTGAGTTAAATGTGTACACACACACACACCCTCTCTCTCTCTTTCTGTCTCTCTGAGGCCTCTGTACTCAAGGCGTGTAATTAAGAGCGTGGTATTAAAACGGGGCGATGGGCAGGTGAGCCGCTCCTGAAACTGTCAGCTGCAATTATTCTGGAGTGCATGCATACTCCCTCTCTTCACTGCTTATTAGTGCCTCTGCAAGAAGGTGAGCAGAGGAAAGGGCTTCTCTTAATTTTGCTGCAATTGGTGAAAGCTTTGATGCAAAGAATAAGCTTGAGGCCACTGGCTGAAGGGCAATTTCTTCTTGGATTTCACTTTTGGCCCCATCTCTGTGTCTCTTAAACCCAAGACGAGAGTTATTCCACAGGGTAAGACTCACAGCTAAGAGGCTCTGGATGTAGCTAAGATCACATGCTTGGGGCCAGATAGACATGGTTCGGTCGCCACATTACTATCTGAGAGCTGTGACCAAGGGTAAGTCACTTAACTTCTCTGGGTCTCAGTTTTCTCATCTGTAAAATGGTGTGCCAGACACTGCAATCCCAGCTGGACTTACTTGACATCTCCAATCCACTTCTCCCTTTCCTAACTCACCAAAGAGGCCACAAACCAAAACACTCACATTCCTGCTTTCCTTGCAGATAGGGGTGCCCAGATGTCAGGGATCTGGCTGTGAGTCTACAGGACACTTTCCTGAATTAGAAGGCAAAACCTTGACAGATGAAGGCTTTGTGCCCTTTGTTCTCCACCCTTTTTCCTGCCTGAAAGGCAGACTTGCCAGAGGTACCATTTTGTGACCATGAGGATGAGGAAGCAGAAACAAAGAAAGAGCCTGGCTTTTGGATGACAGCTCTGAGCAGCCAGTTGCACCAGTCCTGGAGCTCTTGTTATGCAATATCTAATAAATAGATAGAGACAGATAAGTGAATGAATCCTTACACTTGTTTGAGCTATTGTTTATCAAGTTTTCTGTTTTTTTTTTTTTTTCCAGTTAATACATTTCTAAACAGATACACAGCAGTAAAAATAGCAGCCACTTCATGAGTTGTGAGGATTAAATGAGAAAATGCGTGCACAGTGCAAGGTCCAGGCATTCAGCCAATGATGGCCTATATGTTGACGCTGCTAAAGAAGGGAAAACCTGCCATCCCTTTGGTGAGTCGCCAGATGAAGCACAGCGGGTAGGAGGCTCAGTGGGACAGATCCTACCTCGATCACTGAAGTCGTCGACCAGCACAATCTCAGCGACCAGCTCTGGGGGCGAGCGGTTGAGCACACTGTGGACGGTGCGGAGGAGGGAGGACCAGCCTTCGTTGTGGAAGGGGATGATGATGCTTGTGTTGGGAAGTGTCTCCAGGTAGCGCTTGCTGTTGCAGCTAGAGGGAAACACAAGGGGAGGCAGAGGACAGGGTCAGCTCTCCTCCTGCCAAGAGAACTCCGTCACAGGGTTTGGCTAACTGCAAATTCCACTTCCTCTCCAGTCATTAGGGAATGAGCGAAATCCAGGGAGACCTTGGTCACGCAGGAACTTCTACATGACATCCCAAAGTTGTACCTCTAATCTCTGCATATATACCACATAGGGATACGTATAAAAGACCTCCCTGATTTTGAATAGTCGTGATTTCACGCGGAGGACAGCCCTTCAGTAACACTCTGGCCTCTCTGTCCAGCTGTGATATTGTGATTTATAATAAGAACTACAGACTTTGGTCTTTGTCCTTGGTTCCTGGCACAGAGCTTCTAAAACTTGTCACTTCCTAAGCCACAGGGGTGCCAGGAAAATCTTATGTTCTAATATTTCATCTTTGACCCCAGTTCCTGACACAGAGCTCCTAAATCTCTTGGTGTTTTCTGGGTGACAGACGCATCTTTTGTTCTAATGAGGTGACTCTTGGTGGGCTCCAGGAGCCGGGGTGGTCACCAGAAAGAACATGCCATGATTAGAAGCTTAGAACTCTCAGCCCCCCCACACCGTCCTCCAGGAAGGGGACAGCAGCTGGAGACTGTGATAATAATTAATCATGTCCATGTGATGAGGCCTCCACAAGAACGTGGGAGGTCCTTCCCACAGACCCCGCCCTATGCAGCTCTCCATCTGGTTGTTCATTTGTATCCTTTCTAATATCCTTCATAATAAACTGGTGAAGGTGTCCTCCTGAGTTCTGTGAGCCACTCTGGCAGATAATCAAATCCAAGGAGGGGAACCACCAATTTACACCCAACTGGTCAGAATTACCCCAGGCCTGGATTTGCAAATGGCATCTGAAGGTGGGGGGTGAGGGATAATCTTGTGGGACCAAGCCCTTTACCTGTGGGATCTGACTCTAACTCCAGGCAGGTAGTGTCAGAATTGAATTGAATCACAGGACAGCAGGCTGGTGTTGGAGAATTGTTTGTTGGGAGAGCCCCTCTCCCTACCCCGCACATTTAGTCACAGAAATATTCTGTGTTGCATGTATGAATAGAGAGGGAAAAACAGTGAGTTTGTTTTTTCCTATTACACATTCCTCTCCAATAGAGGAGAAATGATTTATCCATGAGTTTGGAAGAATGAACTGGGCTTCAATGGCTCAGCCCCTCCTTTTTCTCTCCCTGGGCTCTAGTCTCCACTATGGTAAGCTTAGGGGTGGAAGGCCCTGCCCCTTGTGGATCTTTCATACCATTATAACACCCAGAAGAATTAACATTGTTCCTTAATATCATCAAATATCTAGTTGGTGTGCAAATTTCCCTGATCTTATGTCTTTCTATAGTTGGTTTAAAACAGGATCAAAACAAGGTCCACATACTGCGTACAGCTCATGGGTCTCCTAAGTCTCTTTTACACATAAACTTATGCCCTCCTTTTTTATTTTTTTTTTTCCCCCTTCGATTTATTTGCTGAAGAAACTGGGCCATTTATCCTATAGCAGTCCCCACAGTCTGCATGTTGCTGCTTGCATCTCTGTGGTATCCTTTAAACTGTTCCTCTGTCTGTCCCCCTTTAGTTCTTGTAAACTGCTAGTTAGATCTATAAGCTTGACCTAATTCAATAAGCTATTCTGACAGCCTCTTCAAAGATAGTGGTACAGGGATCCCTTAGGAGACACATTGTGTCCAGTTGTCTTTCCTTTTGTAATAATCGATGCCTAAATATTTTATTTCATCAGGAGTTTGAAAAATGATTACATTCTAATTCTATTACTCCATCTTCATTTACCAGCTGAAATTATTCTATAGAGAAAAATTTACCACATCAACTATTTGTTCACTCCAAAGTATAGGAAACGCAGGGTAAGTTCTTGCTTCTTTACAAGTCTTTAGAATGAGTTGGTTACCTAGCATCCTCCAAAGATGGTCAATTATGTTAACTCACAAATGGACACATAATTAATGTGTTTCAATCCAATGCAGTTCTTATTCTTACTGGTTCCCAAATAAACCCATCGTTAGCCAAAAGGAGTCTTCTCAGGTTGACTCCTGAGTCCTTTGGACATGACCAGAGTACTAATAGCTTCCTTGTTTTATGATAAAAGATATGAAAAGATTCCCCAGACTTAACTTGCACATTTCCTGCCCTAACCTGGAATCAGTCATTCTGCCAAAGAACCTTTAATCCTTAATATCATCAATATCACCATTCGGATGCTGCAATATGAGCACTAAGGGTGTTCCTTACCACTAGGTTGGTTATAGTTTCTATGCCTTTCCAGTGGTCAGAACTACAAATATATTTTATTTTATTTTTTTGAGACAGGGTTTCACTCTGTCACCCAGGCTGAAGTGCAGTGACACAATCTCGGCTCAATGCAACCTCCATCTCCCAGGCTCATGCCGTCCCACCTCAGCCTCCCAAGTAGCTGAGACTACAGGCGCACGCCACCCCATGCCTGGCTAATTTTTGAATATTTTTGTAGATACAAGGCTTCGCTAAGTTGCCCAGGCTGGTACAAATATATTTTAAACAATACATTATGAGTTTAAGCAGAAATTTTATATTTAACATATAGAATTACTGAGTTTTACTGAACTCTAATTTTATATTGTATCTCCTTTGTATTGAGATATAATTCACACACCATAAAAGTTACTCTTTTTTAATTTAGTAGTTCTTAATATATTCACAGAGTTGTGCAACTATAACCACTGTCTAATTCCACAACATTTTCATCACTCCTAAAGAAACCCTGTGTGTACTAGCGGTCATTCCCCATCTTCCCCTCCTGCCAGCTAGCTGCTAGCAATCCCTAATCTACTTTCTGTGTTCATGGATTTTCCTATCCTGGACATTTCATATAAATGGATTCATATTTGAGGCTTTTTGTGTCTGGCCACACTTAGTGTAATGTTTTCAAAGTTCATCCACGTTGTAGCATGCATCAATGTTTCATTTCTTTTTTATAGCTGAATAATAGCCCACTGTATGAATTCACCACATTTTATTTATCTATTCATCAATTAATGGATATTTGGGCTGTTTCCCCCTTTTGCCTATTAAGAATAATCATATGAACATTCATGTACAAGTTTTTATGTAGACAAGTTTTCAATTCTATGGGTACACAGCAAACAGCGGAACTGCTGGGTCAAAGGTAACTCCATTTTTAACTTTGTAAGGACCTGTCAAATGGTTTTCCAAAGTGATAACACTGTTTCACATTCCCACCAGCAATGTGAAATGAGATTTCCAATTTCTCCATATCCTCACCAATGCATGCTATTGTCCACCTTTTTGATTATAGCCATCCTAGTGAGTGTGAAGTGGTATCTCCTTATCATTTAATGACTACTGACGTTGAGTATCTTTTCATATGTCTATTGGCCATTTGTACATCTTCTCTGGAAAAATGGCTGGTAAATGTATATTTTACTTTCAATTTTTTTTCCAAGTGTGTAGAAATACAATTGATTTTTGTATATTAATTTTGCATCCTGCAGTCTTGCTGAGCACATTTATTAGTTCTAATAATTTTGTATAAATTCCTTAGAATTTCCTATGTACAAGAAAACATCACCTACAAATACAGGTAATTTTACTTATTCCTTTCCCATATAGATGCCTTTTTATTTCTTTTTCTTGTCTAATTGTCTTGGCTAGCAACTCCAGTACAATGCTAAACAGAAGGCAAGAGCAGACATCCTTATCTTGTTCCTGATCTTAGGAGGAAAAGCATTCTGTCTCTCACCAGTAAGCAAGATATTAGTGTGGGTTTTTCACAGACGCACTTTATCAGCTTGGAGCAGTTCCCTTCTATTCCTAGTTTGCTGAGTGTTTTAATCCTGGAAAAAGAAGTGTTGGATTTCATCAAAGGCTTTTTTTTTTTTTTTGCATCTACTGAGATGATCATGTCAGTTTTGTCCTTTATTTTATTAATATGATGTATTTACATTGATTTTCATATATTGAACCAGTCTTCCATTCCTGCAACATCCTACTTGGTCATAGTGTATAACCTTTCTTATACATTGCTGAATTTGGTTTGCTAGTATTTTGTTGAGAATTTCTGCATCAATACTCACAAGGGACACTGGTCTATAGTTTTCTTTTTATGTCTTTGTCTGATTTTATTGTATCTCTTTTGCTAAAAATATGCGTTCTTAACATTAACATAGCTATTTATTTGCTTTTTTCTACAATATATAATAGTTTCAGAAAACAATACCAATGTTATGGCTAAGAATATGATTACAGAAAAGTTATTTGTCTCCAGCATACATATATAACTAGGAATCTACAGTCAAATTTTTATGTATTTAAGCCACTTGAAACAACTCCTCTCTGCATGGTTAGGCCACCAACTCGCACACATTGGGCTCATTTATTTCATTTGGCTCTTTATTTTTACGGATTTCTTTCTGCATTTAGTTTAGACTTAATCTTGTTTTTACAATTATATTAAATATTTATATGGTTCCCAAGTCAAATCCAAAGACCAAGTAATGCAAAGATTTCTGGCTTTTATCTATATATCTTCCATTTTGATTTTTCCCTCCTTCTAAGACTCCATTTTATTTTATAGTTGATTCTTGCATTCTTTTTTTCTAAGCAAGTCTATTTGGTCACACCAAGACCATTTTACAGAAATAAAATTTATCAATTTGATTTCAATAAGCTCTATGATTTAGCTTTAGGTGAGAAGAGGAATAAGAGGAGGGCAGCAACTTACTGAGTTCTAAAACAGTGATTTGGAAAGTGGTAGCATCACCGAGAGCTTCTTGTTAGAAATGCAGATTCTCTGGCCACCCCAGACCACTTGAATCAGAAACTCTCAGGTTGGGGCCCAGCAATTTTTATTTTATCAGGCTCCCTGGGTGACTTTGATGCCCATTCAAACCTGAGAATCGTTACCCCAAAATATTCACATCCATCACTGGTAGATATTGGGTTCCCTGG